TTTCTTTTCATCACGTCCCAGACTTCTGTGTGATCTGTCCATCCCCTAGGTCCAGCCTGGCGTTAATACTCCTATTTTCTTGGTGGACGTATCATCCCAAATACTACAAACAGGACAACAGTTGGAAGTCCTAATGCGCCAAGAGATGCGTGAGATTGCCCAGTAGTCTGAAAAAGTCAGAAGTTCCGATTGTCTTGGTTGCTGCTCCAAATGGAGTTATCTTACCCCTGTTCGGGCTTCCATGTAGACCGTCTCGTCACCTGACATTGAGCCATGAAATGCAGAGCTCGAGGCCCACGTCTCTGGAAGCTTTAGCAGGACTTCAAACTGTTATCATGTACACATAATTTGAGATGAAACGTCCAACAAGAAAACAGAAGTATTGATGCCACCAGTCCGGACCTAGAGGATGGAAAGATCACACACAAGTCTGGGATGTGATGAAAGAAATCCAGACCTTCAACCTACTTTTCATGGAGTTCCCCATTGGCTGAGATTGCCGAGGCCTTGACACTTGCTCCAGAATAAAGTGTCCATGCAGATCCTTTAGATCAGCACAGTAAATGAACAATCACATGCCATATCTCCGAAAAATAAAAAATGGAGCACTTTATATGCAATGTGGAAAAAAGAAAGAAAGAAAGATAAAAGCTCGTTAAAATGAAGGAGAAAATAGCAAACCAACCTTACAGACCCTTCAGGAAATCCTTGAACTTCTCCAGCATATCATCACCGGTGGTGGAAATCGCTGCTTTCTCTTCCTCGTAATCGCCACCTATGGAGCCTGTAGCCGCACCCTCGGCTCCTTGGTGTGGAGATAAAGCTCCACAAGGCTCTGAGCACTGCTGGGATCAAACCAGAGATTCAAAACCGCCAAGTACCCTGCAAGATGGTCACAGCCGAAGCAAACGTCTGATTCAGGAGCCCTGGACAAGCGCCGCCAGCTTTCCTCCTGTGGAAGACGAGGAAGAAGTCTACAAACCGATCGAGCTGGTCCCTGTGCCACCCCGCTCGAGCGAAACACGAGAGTAGCTCGGCCAAAGCGCTGCCACTGGACGAGAGCTGCCAGAAAGTGGCACACTCCTCTTCCAAAGGCCGCAGCGAGGGTGATCATGAATATTTATCTGGTGTCTATCGTGCTGTTGAGTAGTAATCCTCTGAGAGGGAAGAAAAATCTTCTATGTACATAGAATCTCAAAATGTGTATAATTCTTGAATAATAGACAGACTTTGCCAATGCTCCAAACAGGCGTATGTGTTCCTGCTAGCCCAGGAAGCCTCTTTAACTTACAAACTAGCTCAAACTCATCTGTTTGTGTGGCGTTCATCCTCCTTTCTCGTTGAGTTGAGTGGATCGCTGCCCAGCGTACACTTGATCAAGCATCGCTTTAGGGGTCTTTGCAGAGACGGCAACCAAGCCACCCTTGTCGTCAACCTTCCACACGCCATAGCCATCAACTGCGCATACACCCAGCCACTCGCTGGCCATTGTACTCCCACAGCCTCGCGGTGCACAGTCCCGGGAGCGGCAAAACGCAGCGCAGGATCTCTCCATCCGGGTCAACCTTGTCTTCCAGGAGGCTGCGGACAACTTCCCCGGTGCTCCACCTGGCGCGGCCGAAGTCGTAAAATCCCAGGATGGCGGCATCGTAGAAGTAATCGTCCAAGCCTGGGAATACTACGTTCACGATGTAATCTGAAAGTCGCTGCTGCGCCTTCACCTTGACGTAGGCTGGGGAGAACGGGAGCTTGGGGAGAGAAGACGAGCGCGTTACCGAGTCGTAGATGCAGCACCAGTGGCCTGAGAAGTCGACAGCAGTGTAGGGCAGACCGACTTTGAAGCCATTCTTGTTGACGAACATGGCAAAGTCGATCACTCCCGCTAAACTGTATCTTTCTCTGTCCTCCCAATGGAGCGGTGGTAGTTCGCTCCACTCTTGGGTGACTGGATTCCCCACCACCAGCTGAAACACATCATCAGCGGGATCAACCATGCCCCTGTGCGTCCTGAAGAGGCATACCAGGCCACCCGCGGAAGCAACGACTTGAGCGCGAGGAAATTCTTCCGTTTTGTGGGGCAACGGAAACTCCACGCTGTATTTGGGCTGTGATGGATCCCAGGCGTGGCAACGCTCGCCGTGGAAGGAGCTAGTCATAAGCCGCAAGGATTCCTTGTGGCCACTGTTTTGGCACCAGCGGCGGCGAAAGCGTTCCATGACTTGCAAACGGCGGAGCATGCGGTCACTAGTGTGGCCAGGTCCACGTAGCTGAGAAGCGTCTCCAAAATGTCGTCTTGCAGGGACACAGGCGCTTCTTTTCTCCGTTTCTTCATCACAAGAAGAGTGGAGAGAAGCACGTTATGGTACTGCAAAAGGGATGCAGGGAACCCCAAAACGAACGGAAAACAGAGACGAAGACGCCTCTCCCTTCCATATCCTACAAGAAAAAAAGAAGCTCGTTCTCTTTGAAGAAGTTATTCCCCATTATCTGTCCTCACTGGCTTGTGCTTCTCCAGTTGAAACCGAGCTTCTCATAAATCTCTCCAATCCTGATTATCCGGCCTCGTTCCCTCTTTAAACATCTAACAAAAACAAACGCGAGCAAACTTACTTTGATGGCCGATCGTACAATCGAGCAGACAATACTGGGGACGGTCTCTTGTTTTGTTGCCACAAAAGATGTGTTCATACTGAGGAAACATCAAAAGTGTTCATTGTAAAGTCATGGCGTGATAAACAAACACCTGTGACGTTCTTCCAGTCAGATTGAACGTAGAAAACACACGACTTACATGAATCATCGACCACTGTCATGGGAATCCATTTGGGTGCTGTCAAGAGTAAGACTGTAAAGAAAAAGAGAACCTTTAGTCATTGGTGGTCCACTTAGTCGCGGACCTGTAAGTTGATCATGTCATGGTAGAAGTGGGTAATACTTGTTGAAAACTTTCTCTAAAAAGAAAAAAAAAGGAAAAGAAGCAAAGAACCTTTTTTCTTTCCTGTCAAGGTGAGCCTCAGTAGTTTCTGGAATTCATCAATGTAGTCTTCGCTGCTCATGACGATTGTCGCTCGATCCAGCAGCTCTTTAAACATCTACGACCACAAAACAAATACGTGACCACGGTAGCAAAACAATTTCACATACTTATTTTCATACATCGTGATCATTCGCGTATACATAACTCTCTTGTTTCGTCACGACAAAACTATGCCAGGCGTGCTCAATCTCTCCACTCTGCCATCAGTGTCCAAGGGCTGAAGGAGACATTCATAAGTGAAAACCATTTCTTCAGAACACTTTGCGCCATTGTTTCAACCGTTGAAACAATTATTGATTGATTGATTGGGAATCTTACCTCTTATACCCCGTCAGTGGTATTCCTAAAGAGCGTGGAGACGTACTCGGTGATATTCCCTTTGCCGCAAGCATAAAATGGATTTCTTGGCAGTCCAGCATCTTGCGCTGTAACTACACAACTTGTAGTTCCCTGCTCAGAGCTGGCACCAGTATCATTGTCGTGAGCAAGTCAGCTACCTCCGGGGAAGCCTTGAACTTCTCCAGTATTTCATCGCCGGTGGTGGAAAACGCTGCTTTCTCTTCCTCGTCATGGCCACCTATGGAACAAATCCTCGTGAGAGCCTGTAACTGCACCCTCAGCTCCTCAGTGTGGAGATAGAACTCCACAAGTCTGGGATCAAACCGAAGATTCAAAGCCGCTGAGTGTCCCTGCGAAGAAAACGCCTGATTCAAGGGCCCCAGACAAGCGCCGCCACACTTCTTCCTGTGGAAGCCGACGAAATACATCGCTTGGTTCTTCCTTGCCGACTATGGAATCTCACATCCCGCCCTCGTACATGAAGAGCGCTGTTCTGACCTACAAGATGGTCTATGAAGGAAGTAGGAGCAAACCAAGGAGCTGGTGCTGGAGAGCCCGGATTTTTCCCGTCAGGTCTGGATGTTTTGCGATGTCTTGGACGAGCTCAAGATCTTCATGACCGAATCCTCCAGAGAAAGGTTCTGCGGAAAGGCAGTCAAGATGATCGAGTTGGATCCACAAGCAAATAACCCCGCCAACTTGTGAGGGTATAGTACTGAGACACGTGGTGACACGTGGCGGATCTGACTCTCAACTGTATCTAAGCATAGTTTCAAAATGATATCCTGACGCTGAATGGAGGAGGAAGACAAAGAGCCCTTTGATCTGGAGTGGCTCTGATTGTGAATTGAAAAAATCAAGAGTGAGTTTTTTTGTTTATTTTCATATTGTGCAGGCAACCCTAAAATAGAGGTGGTGAATTGCTTCGGGCCTTTATGCTAATGGAGAGATCACATTTGAGTGGGGGAAATGGAGCAAGATGCTGATTCCTGACGGGTCCTGATACACGTTGGGCTGTGTGCAAGTTTGGGTACTTTGGAATATGCTACTACTGCTATTCAACACTAGGTTTCTTAGTGGTTTAGCATTAGTTTCCTTTTTTTCTGATCTGGGATTTATTACAGACTCACACCTTGGATCATAAAAAAAGGAAAATCACTAGGAAACCTAGAAACTTGATCTGCCACGTGTCACCACGTGTCTCAAAGTCCGGCTCCGTTCTAGTCGCGGAGTGGACGCGTGCTAGAAGAGCATCCGAGACGATGTCGCGCGCCGAGATCCGTGCTGGTGACCGGATCCATATCCGGACGATGGATGATCATCGGTCGAGAAGTTCCCTGGAGGACATCTCGGACGTAGATGCCGAGATAGTTGCTCCACAAGTCACGCAGCGCGTCATCGCTCGGGTAGACCGCGGATGAGGCCTCAGCGAGCCGGAGGAGGTCTAGCGAAGAACTTGGAGGCCCGTATTCTCCCGCGCAAATGTGACCATCCGGAACCGAGATGGCGGCGTTTGGATCTTCCAGATGTAGGAGCACCGCCACTGACGCGGCAACGCAGCTCCTCGCCCATGGTGATAAACCCTAAATCCTACATTATACTCGAAGCTTATCCCAGCTAGGGCTTTTGGTGTGGAAGGAGGATGAGCGCCACGACTCGCGAGCAGAGGGCGCTCGAAGCCAAGGTCTCGGATGTCTTCCGGAGCTTCGCCAGTGCCGGCTATCGCAATCGCGCCTTCCTGTAAGCCTCGAAATCCTCTGGACAATCTTCTCTTTCTCGATTCCTGTCAATGCACTTCGTGGCTCTAGGTCGGAGCTATGGCGGGAGGAGCATCTGGATTATCTCCTCAAAGGCATGACTCGCCTGCCGGCTTCCTTCACGGTTCTGGATTCCAGGTTCGTGACAATGTGTGAGAAACATCGGCTTTGCTCACTCCACTCTTCTAGTCGGCCATGGCTGTGCTACTGGATTGTCCATTCTATGGCATTGCTCGGCAGGCAGCTCGATCCAGCGCTCCAAGCAGACACGATCGAATTTCTCAAACACTGCAAGGTTCTTATCAAACTCTTTTGTTTCTCATATCGACTTTAAAACACGATCTAGGATCCTTTGGGAGGCTATGGAGGTGGACCTGGACAAGTAAGGTTTTCTTTCTACGAAGGTTTCCTTTTTTCATTTTTTTTTCCTTACGATAGATTGCACATTTGGCAACGACTTATGCTGCTGTTGGTACGCTTGTTTCTATAGGAGGTGCTCAAGCTCTCTCGTCTATCGATAGGTAATAGTGATATGTGACTCCGGTTTGAATTCAAAAGAGACATGCTCGGCAGTTTTTGGCAGGGAAAAGATCCTGGAGTTTTTGTTGCGGATGAAGGATCCATCATCCGGAGGCTTCAGGTAAGCGCTAACACTATCAGATTAGTGAGTGAGTGATAATTTGGCTTCGGGCGTGTTTCTAGACTTCATGACGGTGGAGAAATGGATGTCCGTGGGTGTTACACTGCTATTTCGGTATGCTGTGAATGCTGAACTATTTGAATCTAACAGTTTCAGCAGGTCGCATACCTGTTGAATATTCTCGTTCCTCCGCTTCTGGAAAAACTCGGCGAATATGTTGCGAGGTTTTGTACTTGTTTGTGTCTTTTCATATAATGACGATTCTAGCAGTTGCCAAACTTACGAAGGTGGAATTGGCGGGGAACCTGGTGCCGAGGCACATGGAGGGTGTGGCTTGATATTTGTGTTTTAAGTCTGTGCTAATGCTCCCTTCGTTTCAGATATACGTACTGTGGTCTAGCTGCTCTTATTATGGCTGATCAAGTGGATTCACTAGACTTGCCTGGTTTATTGGTAAGCATTAGATTATGCTTGGACGCAACTGACATTTTCTACTTTTCTAGAACTGGGCTGCGTTTCGTCAAGGAAAGGTTGAAGGAGGCTTCCAGGGCCGCACAAATAAATTAGTCGATGGATGCTATTCGTTTTGGCAGGTGCGGGCTTTCTTTCATTCGTTTTCTAATGAATTATTGTTCCTCCTTACTTTTGTTGTATGCACAGGGCGGTGTATTTCCATTGCTGCAGCAGGTCGTAACGAAACTTATCTCGCAACAAACTTCCGGATCTTCTATCATGCATGAAGAAATTGAAGACGATTCCGACACAGAGATCGGTGGTATCATGCCCGCGGACATTGAAACCTTTACGGCCGAGAAGCTTTTTCCAGTGAGGAAAGCCAGAAATCAGCAACACAGGCCTTTCCACAATCCCACTGCTCTTCAAGGATATATACTTCTATGCTGCCAGGTATTTTGTTTATCATTCGATTGACCGTTTTTACTCCCTTGTCTTACTGCTTAGGTGCTCAATGGCGGTCTGATAGACAAGCCAGGGAAATCTAAAGACTATTATCATACATGCTACTGCTTAAGCGGGCTCTCTACCGCTCAGCATTGTCTCTCGACGAATCCAGAGGATCATCCTCCGTCAGGTCATGTTTTTGGACCTTACAGCAATCTTCTGGATTCGACACACCCGCTCTTGAATTTCCACATGAAGCGCTACATGGAGGCAGTGGATTACTTCGTCTCTAAAGCTTAAACAAGCTACTGCTGGCCTACCGACACTGGTACTCTCTTCTAGTGTTGGTACTTTTAAGCTTTTAAAATCTAGGCACCAGCAGTACTACCAACAGATAGACTCACGTCCTTGTCCAGACAGCTAAAGGTTTCGTGGCCTTAATGGCACAGGGAGCCTATGGAAACAATCGATGGAGGTTAAACAAAGGCGAAATGCTATCAGGTAGACTGCTTTCTTTTGATAATCTTTGAGCTTTTCTAAGTGTGATCGCGATGTTCAAGACAGGTGTCTGTGTCTGGTCACAACATTAAAAGCTCTGGTAAGCATTGTCGTTCATTTCTGTGCTGCATATATATTCAGTATAGAAAGCAGTGTAGTTGATGAATCGGGCATTTTCATGCTGTTGTGATCAATAGTTTCTTCACGATTGCGCAACATCTTCTGTAAAAAGGACTGGTGAATCCCTTCTGAATCCCGAGTCCCTCTTGAGGTCCAGAGGACAATGTGTGAATAATAAGTCTGGTTTCCTTTTTCTCTAGGCGTGTCGGTTTGATTTCTAGCTGTCATCTGAGACATTAAACCCCGAAAACAAAAGACATTTCGTCAAAGTGCATAGGTAGGTAGGCAGTGTAACTTTCTCTACGTGAGATCTTGGTGGTTGGTATCCAGAATTCTCGCAGAGGTAAATCTCAAGCGAACCACTACAATTCTTCTAAATGAAAACTGACAGATGTTTCGGTGCTGCAGGTGATGGGTCTTCTCTCGCATGAACAGCACTGTTCATAAAAATTTCTCCGTCTTTCTTGCAAGAGAGCTATCGTAATCGATACGAACTTCTCGTTTCCGGTAGAGGCAAGTCTTTCTCGAAGCTCAAAGTGCCTTATTTTTCCATTGTGTGCAGCGTCACCAGCCGAAATGTATGCACCATAATGGCAGTCGCGTTGTCCTGAAAGCACAATCCACCCACTTCGGCATAATCAACAGACCCATTGCTTTCCGGGGGATTACTAGATCGTTCACGAGAATGGTCGAGCGGAAGGTACCGTCTTTCAATTACGCCTTAAGTGGTTCTCGGGAAACTTTTCTTGCAGTGTTCTATAAGTCTACCGACCACTGAGAAAAACAAGAATCTGTCCTGGGGGGATATCATGAATCAAGTTGCAAAAGATATGTTCTAACCATAGCTACAGCAGTTCTTTCTTTTATGTGTCCAACAAAGGTATGAGCGAGTAGAAAGCATGCATGCAACGAACTTGCATGGCCCTTCTGGCCGGAAGCGCTTCTTTCTTTTCAACAGCTAGGCTGCACAGGATTGTTGGGTGCACACTGGAATTTTAAAGAGGTCCGAATGAGATGAAGCAACGGCTCAAAGCGGAATATGCTACTGTAAGGCAACAGAATATGCACCTCTCTGACAGAATATGTTTTGGCCTCGCTGAAACAGAGCTGCGAGACGGGAATCTATTCACTCTTTTTACCAGCTGAGTGCATACAGTATTGCTGCTGCCTCATCCCTGGCTGTTCTTAAACCCGCTCGAAATCGCCCTGTGAGTTTGTATAGGCTGTAGTGTAGTCCTTTCTGTGTATAGTCCTCTCTTCCTCTTTGTTTGTATAGTGTACAGGCGATTTCGATCCAAGGAACTTCCGGCTCGTCTGCGGAGGTTCGTCTTAAAGTCATTCTGTGGTTCCATGGCCACTTAGTTTTGCAGAGAGGAGAAATGGCCTTCCTGGCAACAGCAGCAGCAGCAGCAGCAGTGATCACATTCTTCTTTGCCATTGTCAATGTGGATGCTCACCAGAAGATGTCATCGCACGGGATCATTGGTAAGCAGCAAAGATTTGTGGTCCCAGATTTGAAACACATTCTACATTTTCAGGAAATGCTATGGACGAATCGTCCGGAACGGTAGTGGTGAGTTTCTCGGCGATCATGTCGCAAGAGCTTGTTAGTGACGACTGCTTTTTCAGTGGAAGGTCGAGAAACAGGGACTTTACGACTATTTCAAATGCGCGAGCAGCACCAGTAGGAGCAGCAACGCAGGGCATTGCAAGAAACACAGGATCATCCAACGACTTCTTGCCGAATCTCCAAAGTCGAGTCCAAAGCCTGGATCGGGAACCAAGGCAACATCACCTTCTTCAACGCCAGCATTGGCCACTGCTCCATCCACGAGAGCATCTGCGCCCTCCACTGGCACTGTACCAACGGCTCCGGTTGCGTCTCCAGTTGTGGCCGCCGTGCCTCCAGTTGTGACGGCTCCAGTGTCGTCTCCACCTGTGGCAACTCCTCCAGTTGCGACACCACCCGTGGTTATTACGGCTCCACCAGTGGCTACTCCAGTTGTGGCTCCTCCTGTCACTACTCCGGTTGTGGCTCCACCCGTGGCGACACCGGTAACGTCACCACCTTTGGCAACTCCAGTGGCGTCTCCACCTTTGGCAACTCCAGTCACTGCTCCGGTTGTCTCTCCACCTTTGGCTACTCCAGTTACTGCGCCCGTGATAGCTCCTCCAGTCGCGACTCCAGTGTCAACCCCACCAGTGGCTGCTCCAGTTGTTACGCCCGTGGCTGCGCCCGTGGTGACTCCAGCGATGGCTCCAGTTGCGGTTCCAGTGACAGCTCCAGTCGTGTCCCCGGTTGTTGCTCCCGTGGCGGCTCCAGTTATACCTCCTGCGCCAGCCTCGTCTCCAGTTGTGGCTCCAGCTCCTTCTCCGAAGAAGCACAAGAGATCCCCGGCGCCAGCTCCAGTTCCAGTCCATGGACCGCCGGCGCCTCCTCTTTCATCACCGACATCTCCAGCTACCTCAGTGGAAGGCCCTGACTTTGCACCGATCACTACTCCTGTAAGTTCTTGTTCTTCGTTTTCTTTTTGTACATCCTGACTTTGTCCGCGTTCTCTTTCAGAGTGGAGCTTTAAGATCGATGCCCGGATCGCTACTTCTCATGGCGTTTTCTCTGGTGCTGGTGGTATTTGTGTGATTTGTTTTTGGGCAGTTTTGGCAATTTTTTTCTTTCTTTTTTATTTTTAAATTTCTTACCAGGGCGTTCTTGCATGATAAAATATTGAAGTAAAATAATCGTTACCAAACCAAATATAGATCGAGGTTTCAATAGTTGTTGTAAAAGGTGTTAAGTTCAGATTTTATGGGGTGCTTACTAAAATCATAACAAGCAGCAACTAGCTTAGAACCGTGTAGTCTGTCATGATTGTTTGATTGAAACTCAGCTGTCCATCTATATTTTGGATGTAAGCATCCACGCTAATGCTGGATGGAATTGGTTTGTTATGTTGTTTCACTCTGCAGACAATACACCATTTGAATACAATATACCTCTGGAGCTTTCGGAATCGCCATGACCTCCAGTAGACGAGCGCTGCAAGCCAGAAAACTCCAGCAACTCCACAAGAGTCTGAAAAATCACCATAGCCCTCCATTTTAATGAGTTAGCAGTGGAGTTTGCAAATAATTGTGATTTGCTAACCATGCTGCTAGCCAAAGGGAAAAGAAAGATAAAATATAGTTCTTGTTATTTTGGCATCTTAATGATGAGATCCACACAATAGATTTCTACAAGATAAAAAATCTGACCACAAATGTGGTTTTGCTAACTAACATGTCCAAACCTGAAAGATATACATCAAAATCCTATGTAGAGTGGTTGCACCTTCCATAAGATATAAAACTCCTAATGTAATTAGGTACTATTCAACAAACTTTTCCAAAGTATAGTAAAATTTACACTAAACTACCATAGAATACAACTTTAGGAAAACTAATGCATCAAGTGGCTTCACCCTTTATCTTGTTTTATATGTAGTTGAGTTGACAAGTTAGAATCAAGAGTTGTTTCATCCAACCTAAATGGTCCTTGCTATTTTTATATTGCAAAATTTATAACTTTAATTTACCGTCATTAGAATATTGATTATTTTTCTTGTCTTTCTACTTGTTCTTCAGTTGTGAATAATCCACTTTGTAGCATTTAAGCTCGCTGATAACATTATTTATAATTCTTCATAAAGAGTTTTAACTTCTTTGACCCCTTGCATCCAAAATAATTACCAGGTTATGATGTTTGTTATTATCTTTGTGTTCTTGATGGTTATCAAACAATCTTGATTGAAAGACTCCTCAAATGCTTGCAAGACATATATTTATCATTATCAAGTTGACAATCTATATCAAAGAGTTCCTTTAAACTTTTTGTAGGATGAGAATAATAGAAGTGTTACCTAATGCTCTCACTTTTAATGAAGTAATAGTTGTTCTAGTTCCTTGATTAGACTATGGCTAATTAAAAAAGTAAATTTCTCAATTTAGTCCCTTGCCATTATTCTCCATATCATAGTAAGGGGCAAAACATAGAGTAAATGCAACCTTAAACTTTTCCATGGTAGAGACTATTAGTGTTTAAAGGCATGAGTGCTTAACAAGAATTTACATGCTTCTTGCTATTTCTATTCCTATTTTTGCTAAAATTCCAAATAGTTGGCATTTCTTAGCATTTCTTAATTGCATATTACAGCATATAAAATATCACATATTTATTACATGTTTGTGGAGCTTTTGATAATTCCTATCTTATAAATTGTGGTTAGCATCAGAGACTCTCCATAATTAAATTAAAAAAAACAGTTAGAAATTTTTATATGTTTATTGTATTAGAGTTAGGATTAGTTTCTTTCTCAGGGCTAACATATTAGTGTTTTTAAAATCTCACTACCCTATGTTTTAAGTAGAAACTTATAATTAAGTAATATTATTTTAAGATCTAAATTATAGATAGTAATATTTATTATTAGTAATTATTCTCTTACTTTTAGCTAGGTCTGGGCTAAAATTTTAATTCTCTTAAATTATACATATTCTAATTAAAAACATATAACTAATTATGTGTTTTTAATTTAGGATATTAATAAATTTAGATTTAAAATTTAGAATTAAATTTAGATTTAGATTTATATTTAAATTAAGGTTTTAAGAACACTTATATCATATTAATCTGACTTGAAAAATACTGATGAAAAATATATGAGAATAATAATTAATAATACAAATATTTCCAAAACTATGTTCTATATTATAAGAGTTATTTTTAGAATTTCTTCATTTACTTTTGTCTTTGCCTGACTAGTAATAAATTAATGTTCTAAATTTATTAGTATTCCCAAGTAAAAAATAGGTTAATAGATTAATAGGTTAGGGTATTATTATGGATTTTTCAACAACAGCATGGCAGAGAAAGGGTGAGGGAGACCAGGTTTAGAAACTTTAATATTTGTATTATACTTTGGTCTTTGCAAGACTTGGTGAATAGAGCTGTGCTAGAAAGTGGTAAAGCAAGACATGAGAAACTCATGTATTGGAGACAGAAAAATGTTTAACTTATGGTTGGATTATAATCAGGGTTAGCTCAAAGCTTATGTTAAGCTTTGTTCTTTAAATATAGTAGGGTTTACATCCATGACATGGATTAGAAAAAGACTGGCTATGTTGACTGATCCCCAAGGCAATGTCTTCATCCATGCAACTACATATATCCTTAGAATAAGTGCTCATGGGCTTGGGGACTAGAACTATGGGAATTTATTTGTCATGTTCTAGGGTGGTGGGGGATAAACATGATAATTGCATCCTTGGCAAAGCACCTAAAATCTTTGCAATCTAGCTAGTATGAGATTGGAAACAACCAACCATTACATAAGGCCCCCAAAATGATTAGCCTCTAGATGATTATGATAGTGAAATAGAACATGATTAATCAATATATCCACCTGTGGTAAATATATATGGCTATTGTAGTAAAAAATCCCATCTACAAATGAAAAGAGTTTACAAAAAGGCCACTTTAGCATCTTGAGCTTAAAGAACACTTAATTAAATTCATTAAGAATTTTTACTCATATAATGACAAAACTATGTTTGTAACTATGTCACATGATGAACATGAAATAAAGCATCTGCCCTTATATTCAATTTCCTTAGATGATTCTCAATAATATCTATGAGTTTGACCATCCAATGAACTTATATAGTGTTCAATTCATTCTGTGCGTAAATAGATATATAAGAGGTTTGTGCTCCATCAATACCATAAATACCACATTATAAAGATAGTGTTTCACAATAACTTCTACACATATTTGAAATATTGTTACTTCACAAGATTCAAAGTCCTTTCATTAAAACTCCCTTAATATATAACATTACACCACAAATCACTTTATAAGGTTTTGATACATTACTAATATGAAGCACTAAACCTCATTCATTCAACAATTATTTAACACCTTAAACCTCTTTTTAATGGTATATTCAAGTGAATGTAACAACCCTGTCAAATGAATGGCCACTTCCTTAAACTTATGTTGAAAATAGTAGTAATAGCTAAAGATATTATATAACTTAGCCATTGAAGTCAGTGTAAGGGAATTCTCCACCATAATCAACTTCCTTGGATATATGTTAACATTCATAAATATCACAACATACTTTACCTCTAACTTTATAATTTTCATTTGCTCTTTTTGTATTAAGTTTTTTGTTATATAATAAAGGAGAAACTTGTGTGAATGCACTTTATAATCCATATTCTTGTTAAAACTAAGAATATTGTCTAAGAATGTTTTTATAAATTTGTGTAGATAATACCTAAACACCTTTGTTATCAACCAAGTAATGTAATTAATATTTGTCAATCTAAACAACATAAATGTAAACTCAAAATGACTGAAGCTCATGTTGAATATCATATTAGAAATAAACACATTATCTATCACAATCTAATAATATTCACTCCTCATATCAATATTAAATTTTGGGTTATTTAAGATATCATTGATATACAGTGTTTTCTTGTTCAAGGCATGATGGTCAATAAATATATGTAGCTTTCTATTAAGAAACATTAGTGTGCCAAATAAAACTTACTTGGCTAAATAAATCTAAATTTATTTAACTTGACTTATTATTAAGTTTTTTACTCCTTTGCATAGCTTAGCTAAAATTAATATTAGTAAATTAGTTTTGTTTATGGCTCTGTGAGTGCATGGAATATGGAAAGGGAATACAGAAATATGCATATTAATTAGCCCAAAAACCCTAGCTTATATACAGGAGCGAGTGGTCCGGATTGAAACCAATTCGACGGCTACCAAAATCCACTACGCTAATATTAGTATACGGCATCGTAGCCGTACACTTGGCCCTCACATCATCCCCTCCTCTCGGAATAATGGAAGGCCGTCAGGGTTCTCTTGTAGATGGGCCGGGATCTGGAGGAACGTCAGGAGGAGGCATCGGCGGGTCTGTAGACGGTATTAACTGCTCCTGATCCCTTTGTATGAAGCGTTTTAACCGCTGCACATGCACAATCTCCGGAGGATCAGCCTGCTGAACGTCATGCCGAACCTTATAAACTTGCGGTCCAACTTGCCGCAACACCCGATACGGTCCTTTCCACTGCGCAAGGAGCCCCTTAGATAAACCACGTACCGTAAGATGGGGAAAACGGACTAACACCAAATCATCCACTTTGTACTCCGCAGGTGGACGATGATAGGAGTTGTAGCGCCGCTGTTGTCCCACTTGTACATGGCCTAAGTGTTCGGCAGACTCTGCTCGGACAAGTGGAAGAATGCTTGTCAAATACCGATCCCATGACCTAGCATCAGGAGCTTGTGGCAATCGCGAAGGTAAACCCAACTCTATTGGTAATATTGGATCATGACCATATAGAAGTTTATATGGTGAAGCACCAATAGAACTCTGCACCCCTGTGACATAGGCATACCGAAGAGACGGCAAATAACCATCCCAATCCGAATGCTGAAAGTTCACATACTTCGAAATCATCCCTTTGAATGTCCGAACGAGCCGTTCCACCAGACCGTCTGATTGTGGATGATAAGCACTCGTAAAAGTGTGGCGTATCCCTAACCGAGATGTCAAAACATGAAATACCTCAGCCATAAATGCAGGACCATTATCCGAAAGAATCCGCTTTGGACAAGAATGCTGGAACACCACTCGATTGAGGAGGAAGTATCCAACAGCAGTTGCAGAGGCACTAGCAAGAGCACCAACTTCCACCCAACGAGTCAAGTAGTCAG